GAGAATAAAACTTTCAAGATTTTATCACATTTTGCAATTTTGTCATGGACTACATTATTTTAATTTGCATAGAGAATGGCAAAGAATGAGTTTTAAGATTTTATTCAGTCTTTCTTTCACTGAGATTTAAAGGTTGCAAGCTCTCAAATAAAAATCGATGAGAATTTTGCCAATTACTTCTTAATAATCTAAGCTAACAACAAGTGCTTTGTAGTGCTAAAATGTACATTAAAGGGCTACAGAAACGTATAAGTGAGTTAGAGCGGTAAAATCAAAGCTAAAAGCAAAATCAAGGCTTTGCGACCCTTTAAAGTCGACCCTGTCTTAAAAATTGATGAGACTTTTTACAAGCAGTCTGAACACTTTAAACATGCACAACTACAGTTATATAAATTACATAAAATTATATTAAATTTACGATTACACATGTAAATAATGTGCTTTAAACATGCACAACTGCAGTTATACAAATTACATAAAATTATATTAAATTTACGATTACACATGTAAATAATGTGCTTTAAACATGCACAACTGCAGTTATATGAATTACATAAAATTATAAAAATTTACAATTACAATAATGATTTTTTTCGCTCTTATGCAAAAGTCCATATTAAGGGGAGGGGAGGGGGGCTGGCTCATTTAAAGGGACTGTGGTCCTAATTTTGATTGATCCTACAGGGCGACCCGATTCAAAATATTACCCTTGAGACTTTAATCTGATCAGTCATGGTTGGATCAAACGCCGTTTTTTTTTCATTTTGAAAAGAATTTAATTCTAATAATTTGTTCTTTTTTCTGAAACAAGAAATCCGCAAGTTAGTTTGTAGGAAACCCAAAGATAAGAATTATTTCAAAAACAATTTTTTCAAAAACATCAAACTTAATCAGACAAAGCTTTTATGGAATAGTTGTGAATCAGACATGCTACTTTATCAATGGAGAGTCACTTCAAGTTACTTCACAGTCCCTTTAAAATTGAAAAGGATTGTAAATGATTTTACACCTGTTTTTAATATTCATAAAACATGCTTGCTACGGGCTAGGCTCTGGCAAAATAGAAAATCTGTGAAAATGGAAAAATTATACTGTTAAAAATTCCCTCATTGCAACATACTTTTTCTTTTTCCCCGTCATTATCCAGATCTGAAAAGAAATTTATAAAATTTTACATAGCTGAATTCATGGATTTTTTCAAGCGTACAAATTTACGCATGAGGGGGGGGTTCTAGCGTTTCTAATTCTTTCAATTCTGAACAAAGATATATTCTTTTGAAATCAATTTAACTAGCGGTTGAGTTGAGACACAGACACTTTGCAGTTTAGAATAAGAAATGAAATTTGAATTTTTTACATCGATTTTTGAGCCTTTCACTAATGGAAATACAAATAATTTTAATACTATTTGTCTTTTAAACGCTAGAATTTCGTTTGTTTAAAAAAAAACTCTTTTGCCTTAACAACTGCTGAGGAAAAAAATTGTTTTTATAATACTTTTTTTTACTCCTTAACCACAACAATTACATATTTTTAATTATTTTGTTGTCTTCAACACGTTATATAAAAAAAACCTGTATATATGTTATATAATTCTCATGAGTATCACAATATACATATCAGTTAAGGTTACACAAAACCTGACAACCTAAATATCAAGAAATAATGATTTTATCGGACTATTAGGACTTTTGTAGACTATAAGAGAAAAGCAGGGATAAGCAAACAAGGACAGAGGGACTTCGATCAGAAGGACTAATAGATTATGGAGTTAGAATTCAATAAATAAAAGCTTTATAGACAGATGATTATTTGCAGTATACATTCAGCTTTCAGAGGAGTATCACAGGGTCTTGGGCACTTCAGACAGTATTCAGAGATACAGGGAGAGAGAGAGAAAATGGCAAACTAGAGAAACTTTAGCCAGGGGTTTATATGGACCCCCCATACACCCTGCACACAAATGGAAAAGAAAAAAAACAGAACTACAACTAACATTGACGACCTGCATTAATCTTTTAACGCTGTATTAACGTGGAGAATGGAGGTTTTTTACCAGACTTTGCTACTGGCAGCATTAAATATATTCCATAATAACAAGTTATGAAAATATCCAGTAAAATTGATAAAACACATAAAATTAAAGTTAAAAAAAGTTTAAATGTAGCTTTTCCGCTAATTTAAGAGTCCAGAAACATTTAGAAAATTCTGAAACAAAGAATTGAAAATTTAAAATTTCCAGAAAATTTGAGACTCTAGGAAACTTCCAGATGATTGTGAAATTTTATGAAATTTCGAATGATTTCTTGAATAAATTGGAAATCCCAAAATAGATTCATAAAATTCTCGAGAACTTTAGTAGAAAATTTTAGGATTCCGGAAAGTATAATAGGTTCCAGAGGATTAATGAAATTAGAAAAAAGTTGATAGAATTCCAGAAACAAATAAAACAGTTCCAGAATAGATCGATAAGAGATCCCACCGAGGGGAAGTTTAATAATTAGGAAAGAAAAAGAAAGATGAACAAAAAACATGAGATCTCTTTTTTAGCTTATCTCTTTAACCCTTTTTCTTTTCCAAGATCAATGGAAAAAGATAGTCCGCTTCTGGTATTTTCTCTCCTTAAATCAAAAATAAAATTGGGTTCCAGATTCACCTTCCAGATATATATACAGGTACACACGGAGTCCATATAGATTTTCTCACATACATTTTACCCAAGGAATTTAAATCGTTACCGTTATCAGTTTGCACATGGATTCGTCCCCGAGATTAACATTATCCTGATAGATTCAAGAATTTCTTCATTTCCTTCCATTCGTTACCCTCCATATTCCATTCTCAGTTCCTTCTTGTGCTGGCACTTATTAAAAATAATTAAAAAATATATATATTTAAAATAAGAATTATATAAATAAAAGCTTAATAGATATATAATGATTTAAAATAAGAATTATATAAATAAGAGCTTAATAGATATATAATGATTTGAAAATTATAATCATAGAATTAAAAGCTTAATAGATATATGATTATTTGAAAATAGAATTATCTATACAAAAGCTTAATAGATATATAATTATTTGAAAATAGAATTTTCTAAATAAAGTTTGATAGATTTATAATGTTCTAATACCTCTACTGGATTTGAATTCTGATGAAACTAGAACTTCAATCCAAAACTTGAATATTGGCAGCAAGCGACCTTATATACAACTAACTTATTAAATTAATATTCAGTATTTACAAAGTAATATCAGTAATAGTGAGAAGTTCATTTTATGCAGTTAATTAATGGATAAGAATTCAAAGAATAAATTCTCTTGTTTTCAGTTTTTCCAGAAAATAAATAGCTTTATTTTGTTTCTTTTGCTTTTAAAAAAAAGTTGAAAATCTAAAATATTTCATGAAATTAATTTTTGTTTAAAGGAACTGTAGATGTAATTTTAAGAGTGGAATGGCCGATTCAGAATGGCGTCCTTAAACCTTTGTCTAATCTAGGAAAACGGAATTTAAAAAACACGTTTTTAATGGAAAAAAATATTTAGAGTTAACAAGACAAATTTCTCATATGTGGACACTAAGAACTATTGCTTGGTCCCAGAGGGGCTCTATGGGACAAGATGTATCTAAATTAAATTTTGATGGCATTACACGGGCAGCTGTAGTACGTTTGAATTTCCGAGCCGGGTGAACCTTTCCGGCCCCAATTTGTACTGTATCTAGCTCTATGGACAGGACTAGCCGGTGCAACAAGGTTGACGCGGTCAGACTTTATGCTTTATATTAGGTTGAATTTACTTTTAAAGCAGAGGTGCGTGATTAAACCTCTTTGTGCAAATGTAACTGAACTTACTCTTATGATTGAAATCTAAGAAATAAATTGCATTTCTGATTAGAACAATCTAATTTCATGATACAATAAGAACCGGAAAACTCCAGAATAGGAAGACGACTTTTAGATCCAAGTTATGACTTTAAATAGTTCAAAGTAATAAGTAATAAGTAATAAGTAATAAGTAATAAGTAATAAGTAATAAGTAATAAGTAAATAGTCAAACAATTTTTTTAACACCATTAACTAAACTTAAGTTTTGCTTTAATGTCTTCTTACTAATCCAAAGTTTTCTGATTCTAACTGTGTTAAAATAAATTCAGAAATTGTATGGTTGGTCAATATTGTTAGATAATTCTTGAACATTATAGAATAAAATGAAAAAATGAAACTTTTGTTCAGTTGAAAACTGACCCTGTTACCTCCCCCTTACTCCAGGTAGAAAAAAAGCTGATTTAAAGGGACTGTTCACCTATAAATTGAAAATAGAAAAAACAATTCTCGAATTATTAGAGAACAACTGAGATATCCGTGAGGACCAGAATAATCGATACTTCCTGTAAAATAAAAAGTCTCTGAAAATTTTGTTGATTTCATAAAAATAATACTTGGTTTACTTTGGAAATATGTTTAAAATTTACGAATGCAAAAAAAGAATTAGTTTGAAATCTATTTATTTATTTATTATTTATGTATTTACTGCACATATTAAAATGTTGCCCTATTCAACATTACAGAAGACTATTCTTACAAATTAAAATTTAAAAATTAAACATTTCCCTTTCTAATTTAGTTGTTTCTTAGAGAAAAAATGTGAGAATTGATCCAAGGATGAATCTAGAAGTTTAAACAATGCTGGGCTCTCATGGAATTGTTTAGGAAAATCAGAATTAAAAAGTTAAAATTTGAAAAATCAGACTCGTTTAAGTTTGGCATTAGACATTTGTTTAAGATACAGTGGGGCCCATCTAACTTTGGAATAGGAAGATTACATTCAGGCTCAAGTTATTAATTCAACTAGCATGAGCCAGAAGCACAGCAATTGTGCAGTATATACAGACCCACACTCCTGTTTGCAGAGTCCATTAGCGCCTGAGCCAATCAGGGTTCAGACATGTGTTTGTTGTCTATTCTGAACCAATAGAAATAGTATAGCGCGCGGTAACATCTATTTTTCTTTCTATCTCATTATCTAATTAGAGTTATATGAATCCTTCAGTCGGCGCTATCAGTAAATGGAAATATTTACTTGTACTGAAACTATGGTGGCCATTTCCCTTGGTATCTTGATTTTCCATCTATGTACAGTTATATTATTTGTAACATAAATTTATATGAAAGGGCTTTATATGTCGTCTTCCCTGTCCACATTTTTATGGGTCTTACTGTCATGCATTGTACAAAAGGGAACACCCAAAAAACTATTATTTGTTAATGTTAATTCTCAAATTGTTGTTTGACCAGCTATTTATTTGATAAATAATCTTTTATGTACTATTAATATAATTTCTGTAGCTTACAAACTAAAGTTTGGTTTGGCCCAAAATTCGGGGCTGGCAATGTCTCTCCAGTGAATGATTAAACTGGAGTTTAAACTTGTTTTAAACTTTTGGAATTCTCAATTTAGGTTGTTATGAATCAAAAAGAGAAATTTGTCTAAATTTGATCAATTTATCTAACTTGAATGTCGGGTAGGGGGGGGGGGCGGGTTGTCAGGTTGTCAGGGAAATGATAAAGACAAAAATAATTTTGTTAAAACTTTGTTTTATGTATAAACAGATGTTACACTTTCCAAGGAATAGCTTGGGATATTTTCATACAGTGTTTCCCGAGTAAAGTGGAACAAATCATAAATATTAAAGAGATTGTATTTCAAGTGACCCTCCATACAAAGATAAAATTTTTTAACGAAACCCTTGAAACCTTGTTTGTGTTTATTTCTCCTAATTTCTCCATTGTTCTTATAAGCAAGAAATGCGCAAGTCACTTTAGCAGAGAACCCACAAATGAAAATAAACAGTTTAAATAAAAAATATGGATATCTAATTCATACTTTATTAGACAAAGCGTTTAAGGGTACTCTTGTAAATCGGGCATCGCCATCTTTGCATGAAGTGTCACTTGAAATTACACACACAGTCCCTTTAAGTATTTCGTTTTTCAAAAACATTGGCCTTTTATATCAATATATTTAAGGGAATACTGTTGCATATTTTAAAATATTTAACCACATTTTACACCATTGAATATAAAGAATACAGAAATATTTTCATCCATTTTTACATGTTTACATTACGCTGGGTGTACACTATACAGTACTGTACAGTAATAACTGTTTTAATTTTGAGAAGAGTTGACATAAGCAATTATCGTCAAATATAATTTTTTTACATTTTGTAAAAAAAATTATGTTGAAAGTTTTATTTTATTTTTTATAAGCCATAAAACTGTAATACAAATTTTGCGTCCTACACATAATTCATATGTCACATACATTTCTTACATTCAAGGTGTGGGGGGGGGGGGGGATAAAGAATTTATGTTTTATCCAGTACAGTTCTGATGAAAAACGATGTTTTCCAGTTTAAGCAGCATAATCATCATTTGTAATTGTACCATATACTTTACACTGCACCAAACTTCAACATTTTGGTGCATAGAGGTGGGGGGGGGGGCGAACTATACAAAATACTATATTTGAGGTATATTTGAAATTTAATAAAAGTATTGCTGACACAAGAAAACTTGGAAAGCCTTTTTCAATATTTTAAGATTATTTTTCTCGATAGATCTAAAATATCTATTTATGTCAATTGCAATGGGTATTATTAACTGCGAGAAAGTTTTTGCCGGGATTTTTACTTTTTAAAGTTTGTTTGAGATTAAAATTAAAGTATTTTCACACTGAAAAAAAATTACTCTAAACTCACTTCATAATATATTTTAAAATATCTGCAAAGAAGAATTGATCATTAAACAATACTCTAAAATTCTGTCAATAAAACATAAAAATCTTTAGATTTTTGTTATCATCAAAAGAAAAAAACAGATAAAAAATTTTGTATTCAATTTGTTTTAATCTAAATTTTAAATTTTTAGTTTTATATAAGAAATAAGTTAAACTGTTGTAATTAGTCCATTGTTTATAATAATTATATTTAATTTCCATTACGCCCACTTCAGTTCTGAATGCAAACTTATCATCAAAAATAACAGGATAAACGAGATTAATCACATTTTGATGTTGAACATTAGGTTCCGTCGATTTTTTAAAAATATTTTAATAAAGAAAATATAAAATTAAATCTCCCTTTATCCTGTTATCTGTTATCTACTAAAATTAAATTGTTATTAATTCTACATGCTCAACCTTTCATTGAAAAAAAATTACGAACCAAAATTCCTTTAGAAATATGAAAAGACACAAACATAGACCTCCATTTTGTCTTGAAAATTCGGCCTTTTGTTTTTAAATATTTGTTTTGATTGTCTTGAGTAATCCTAAAAAATCTTAATATTAAGGTATGCATCAATGTTGGTTGTGTTTCTTGATCAAAAAGTTACAAAAAAATTATAGATCAACATTCTCTATAGCACAGTAGGACGCACCTACCAAGCACTAACAATTGGGACGCACAACATCCTTACATAAATACATACAGGGTTACAACTAAGGATAAAACTTCAAAGAAGATTGCACGGAATTTAATCCGCCTTTTTCCATATATTCAGCTGTTGTTTCTTTCTTTGCCAAATCATTAAATACGCCATTTAAAGTCTACGATCAAAGTATTAAATCTTAAAGGCGTCAAATCTGAAGAGTTTAAAGTCAACCACAACAATTTCTCGTCCGAGCCACATTCTCCTCATTTTCTCGTCCGAGCCACCTCGAAATCCTCTCCTTTCAATATTATTATTTTCAAATGTCTGATCCTCCATGATAAATCTATCTTTTAACAATCGGGCTACGTTAGGGAAAAAATGAAATATGGAATTTTTAAATCTAATAAAATATTTACCATTTTATAGCGCATTTTACATATTCCTGGTATAGAATGCCGCAAAGAATCCCTAGGTTATAGAAATTCAATCTATTTTGTTAATTAAAGGAAAAATCATTTTTCCGGATGGTTCCATGTGGAAACTGATAGGCAGAAGTATGCCAAATGTCTGGCTAGTAATTTTATATTTTAATTTATATATTTTAATTCTGGAGGCATAAGAGATTTAAGTTTTACCTAAATAAAGTTAAACATCATTCTCATGGGTTTGAAGATACTTTAGTTCATCCAAATATTTTGCCCTAACGTGGCCAGATTAAAAAAATCGTCAAGAATTGAAAATTTTATACACACAATAATCGAAAGATGAGGATTCCAAGGTGGCTCGGCGAGAAAATGAAGAGAATGTTGCTCGGACGAGAATTTGTTGTGGCTGGCCTTCCTTCCCTCACCCACATAGGATGAGACTTTAATGACAAACTAAAAATCCTAAGATTTGAAGGTTATTATTAGGTTGTTTGATTTAAAAATTAATTTGTCTTTTAAGGATCTATTAAATGATATAGGGAAAAAATAAGAAACTAAAAAAACTCGGCGAACCCTTAATGAACAAGTTAAGTCTGAATAATTTCCGGACAGTCGTCCTTAAAATCTCATCTTTTGAGGATAATCCTGTACATTGCAGCTTAATTAACATAACAGAGTCCAAAACTAAAGAACGAAAAGTTTTGACTTAAATTTTAAGTTCATGGTTAAATGCCACTTCTGGCTTAATTTAAACCTGAACTTTGACCGTGAGGTTAAATATTTAACCCTGTGGTTAAATATTTAACTCGCCGAAATCGACGAGTTAAAATCTAAACACAGGGTTAAAATCTTGAAATCCTGCATTTTCCCTATTTGTCTATTATTCAATCATCATTCAGCTGAGAAAGTGGCATTCAACTTTACGATATATTTAAAAGTGAAAACCTTGTTAAAGAAAATTCACGTTTTAGATAAATTAATTTTTGCATGTAAACCCAAAAAACGGTTGTAACTCGAAATATGTTTTGTTTTCGGTTACGTAATAACAGCTGATCAGCGATGGTTATGTAATATTCTCCGTAAATCCTTTTCTCTGATTGGGTCAAATTCTTCCCGGGAAATTCAAATTTAAAATTGAGAAAGTTTAATATTTAAGTAGTTATTCATTATTTTACAGAACTTTTAACCTCGAACTTAAAATTCGCGCATTCTTTAGTTTTAGACTCAGTACATTGCAGCTTAATTAAGTATTTAATAATTAAAACATTTTAAAAATCTGTTTTTGTTTGTTATGGTTATGTTTTGAAAATCTGGTTTGGTTTGGTTTGGTTAATATTTTGAAAATCTGGTTTGGTTTGGTTTGGATAATGTTTTGTAAATCTGGTTTGGTATGGTTAATGTTTTGAAAATCTGTTTTGGTTTGTTATGGTTAATGTTTTCAAAATCTATTTTGGATTGGTTTGGTTAATGTTTTGAAAATCTGGTTTTGTTTGTCATAGTTATTGTTTAGAAAATCTGGTTTTGTTTGTTGTTAATGTTTTGAAAAAATGGTTTGGTTTGGCGTGGATAATGTTTTGAAAATCTGGTTTGGTATGGTTAATGTTTTGAAAATCTGGTTTGGTGTGGTTTGATTAATGTTTTGAAAATCTGGTTTGGTTTGGTTAATGTTTTGAAAATCTGGTTTGGTTTGGTTAATGTTTTAAAAATCTGGTTTGGTTTGGTTTGCAGATCTTCTCTTCTTCTTCTACCTCTCCTCTCCTCTAACCTAGGCTGGAGAGACAAAGGTAAATATTCTAGACAGAAAACAACTTTCTCGTGTTTTTTTTAATCTGGGGGAGGGGGAAGCGCCTCCCCCCGGATTAAATGTAGAAATCAAACGTTAAATATGATTCAGTTGCTGAATAAAGGTTAACAAATTTTATATGTCCATTTTATGTTAAAGTGGCATGTCCGATGCACAATGGTTCCTCATATATGTTTATTTGTTCAAGGACGCAACAGATATCGTTATCTTTGTAGCTTAAGATTTGATTATTTTCAATTATGGTTTCTTTTTACCGAGTTCTTTTTACACATCTGTGGTTCTATACATGGTTCTGGCAGTTGACTAAGGAAATTACAAGAAAGAGAGAGATTAGTATATATTTTAGGGTCAGGTTAGGTTAAGACACTTTCTGGGCCGAACGCTGCGGCAAGGACAGGCTAGGGCACTGAGCGCCGCGGCTAGAACAGGCTCTTTTTTATCTTGTGATTCAACACGAAATTCTCACGTAACTTCCATGGGCTTCTACACACGGTTCTTTTCAGGCGTTTAGAACAATTTATTTATTATCTCCTATTTTCAATTACTTTAATTGCCGAGACATATTAATTCTTCTTTGATCATATAAAACAAAGATATTATGAAGAGTATCATTAATCTAAATAATAAAAATCTTTTCAGGCTAAAAATTGGTTTATATTTCTTAATCCTTGTTTGATCAATGATCATGTGATAAAGGAGATATCCTTATGTATATTTATCTATAACTGAAAATTGATTATTTTTTCAACAAAGCACTAAATAAACGGTAAAAAATTGCAAGTCACTTATACAGAGAAACCAGACGTAAAAATAATCTATTTTCATGTGGATAGATATTTATATGGATATCTCATTCATCACATGATCATGGATCACACAGAAGTTAAGAAGGTTTAATTTCATCAGACATCTCCATAAATTGAGTGTAACTAAAAAGACCTCTGCAGTCGGTTTAAATAAAAAAAATTTTCATAAACATAATTTTTTTCTCTAAAATCTTTTAAGTGTGATTTGAAAGCCTAGAATTTAAGCAACATTCTTACAGGCTCACTACGATCTAGGGATCTTTCATTCACTAAACTCATGGGAAGAAATAGAATCTTTGCCACCAACTCGAATTTTCTAATGTCTTTGCAAACAAACTTATATTATATATGATCCGACAGAATACATAGTTTGAAACATCTGTCCTAGCCTGTGCTTAAAAACAAGGCAAATCCTCCCGAATGCATAATAATTCATAAATAATAATTCATAAATAATAATTGTGGTGTTGCCCTGTGATTTAAACCATCTGTGAACCCCTGCCCGGCCACCTCCACCCTGCTCATCATCATGGTGTACTCTAGCCCTTCCACCCCCATCGTATTAGAGTTTATTTACAGGGGGGGGAGGGGCACCTAAAACAGATCCGAGCTAATTAGCTCAATTTTTATACACGGTATTTTTATTGCTGTAATATTACGGTTTCTAAAGAAATGTATAATTAAATTGAATATTTTAAATTCTTACTATAATCTTAGATTACAGAGTGCAAATACACACGTACTTAAAGTAAAGTAAAGTTTTATAATTACTATGTCATTTACAACCTGATGATGTAAACCTTTGATATTTAAAACTTATATTAATTGATCTAACAGAATTCATAGTTTGAAAAATTTCAGGTCTACGACATTGGGTTGTAAAGATACATACAGGGTTTTAGCAAATTAGAGTTTGCGGCCAAGACTCAGTTCCTTTGGAAATTTTTGGGACCTCCTGCTTCACCCAGATGAGGCCATGAGCCTCCTCTATGCAGACACGAGCCTCCTAGAGTTTCTAGGCAGAGCGAGAGCCTCCACTATGCAGATCAAGCCTCCGATATGCAGACCGTGCCTCAGCTTTTTTAAATCTTGGTTTTTATGTTTTTACACATATCTTATGTAGAAAGAAGATATTTGGAGAAATATTTCTGGAGTAAACTTAGTTTGTTTTGTTGTAATCTTTGATTTAAACAATACTTTTTTTAAAAAATGTCAAGATATAAATAAATGATACAAATTTTCTTGATTTAATTTGAACTACAAATAAAGGTATAGCTTAAACCAAAGATTATAAAACATGAAAAGAAATTCAATTCAAATTTCTTTCTCTAAATATGTTCCTTTTTGTGTAAAAGATGTTTAAAGTTTTATATACCTCTTTATTAGTCATAATTAGGTACTATTTATGATAATTAATAAACACTTCTCATCTTTGAGAAACCTCTAATGCAAATATGTAAAAAATTTGTAAAGAACTCTTTTCTTTAAACTTAAAACCTAAGTTTAAAAAAACCTCATGTATTACAAAGGCACATTTTGATGTATTGTGCATGCTCATTACTGCATAGCAGAGGCTCGGTCTGCCTAGCAAATCTGGGAGGCTCATGTCTGCATAGCGGAGGCTCAAGGAGTCCGGGGGTTCCCTTCCTTCCCAGATATCTGAACGATCCCTTTAATACTTTAATATTATGTTTTCCCATCTGCTATTTGTTCCAACTGTTCTAGAGATAAACTTGCAAATTCTCAAACATATTTCCTTTCCAATATTGTAAACTAAACAGGAGGGGGAAGGGGGGGGCACAGAGGGGTTTTACACAAACCTAAGACGAAGAATTTACTCTTGGCGTGCTTGCAAAGCCCTAGAATCTTTGCTCAATGGTCTTTAGAATCTATTTATATATCTAAATTATCCTGATCCAATGGTATTTCGTGTTAAAAAGGTATAAAGTATATAATATGTCAATGGTTTTTTTGACACAGTACACAATGACCTCTACAAATGGGAAATGATAGGAACGGAGAAATTAATTATGATTTGAAATCATTTGTAATCAATACAAGCCACTTAATACAATGTTTGTAAATGCTGTGAAATTCGTATACATTTATTTTGTCCATTCTCATCATAAAACACAAGACATATTATTTTAAGAAGAGGATAATGATAAAATCCTCAATTAAAGTTATTCAATCAGGGTATGGCCACCCCACGGTAAACTAGGGGTCTTGGTTAAAAGTCAGTAACTTTGTAACCCATTTTTATTTTTTACCAGTTAAATGAAGATTTTGAGTTTTTTGTTGGACTATTAATTTCAAATACGCTATTTTTGACAGATTTTGATCGAAAACTATAAATATGTTTATTCCTAGACAGGATGTAATTCGTTGTCGTTGGTTTTACGTGACCATGGGCTAGCGGAGATCATAAGCCGGAAATCAGTGTTCGATCCGAAGATTTAAAACACAGAAGTAGTGACTTCTGGTTACGCTAAAATTAGGATTTCCAACTCAAGTGGACTTTACTTGCGCGCAATTGCGGGATCTGTAATTTCCGCGCAATTCCGTGCAATTTCGCGCAGTCTGCGCAATTCCGCACAATTTCGCGCAATATGAAAACAATTGCGCACAATTCCGCACAGTTGCGCGCAATTCCGCGCAATTCCGTGCAATTCCGCATTTCCGATTGGAAAACCTGGCTAAAAATTTGGATTAGAAAGTCTGTATTTTTTTTTGAACAATTCCGTTACAAACCTTTACAATAAAACTGAATTCAATTTTTAAAACTTTTCATTTTTTTCCTGTAAAAATGTTTTTATCTTTTAAAAGTTTTCTATGTTATAAAAGAAGTTAGTGAAACGTTATATCACAGCTGTCCTCAAAGTTTGAAAAGATAATTCAGAAACCCTGTTTTATTTTCTTTTACTGTCTTTTTACTCTTTTATTGTTGAAATAAATTAACTGAAATACAACAGAGATAGGGTTACAGAAAATAAAAAATAGAATAACATTTAAAGCATTTTCTTATTTTTCAAATTCAAAATTAGATTTACAAAAAAAAACATCGTGTATACAATATAGGCAAAAGTGCAAAAATGTTACATTGATAAAAATGCATAAAAAATGTAGGTTTCTGTTTGATCCTTTAGTAAATATATTCAAAACTATTTGTATTATGCAATTGGTCAGTGAAACAAATATTTTTTATTATTTTATAGAAAAATGTATTTTTTTATTTTTTTATTCTTATTAGTGTGCTGTATAGCTGTAAGGACGCCATTTTGTTTTAAACGGACTGTGTAGAGTGAGTTTAGGCGTAATATCAAGGAAATCTTTATTTAAAGAGTGATGGCCTATCCGATTCACATCGGTACCCTTTAAATATATCCTTCAATCATCTTCTTTGAGAAAATTATTATTATTACAGATTTCTGCTTAAGAAACAATGGACAAATTTGTTTAAGCTAGAAGAACGACGATATCCCGCACATTATTGATAAGATAAAGCTTTAAAGGATACCCTTGTTAATCGGACATGACTCTCCTTTGAAATTCCAACCATTCGAAATAAAATATCCTTTCAAGAAGGCAAAGATGGATCATGTGGAATGCATAAGAGAAAAATTTATATTTTAGTTAAAGTTAAAGGGACCGTTCACTTATTTGGGTAATTTCATAATAAACTAATTAGCCTATTAGCTATTCATTAGTATTAGTCTTACTTTTGAAAGAAATTTATGAACGGAGAAAAAGCCGATTTATCCTCTAGAATTCCTGCGGTAAGGTTTGATACCTGTGAATATACTTTATTTAAAAATAATTTTGAAAAAAAATTAAAGATATTTACAATTAACTATTAGCTGGATACTACAATGAAATTAAATATTTGAAAATTTTTTTTTATCCTAGACTATGACAAAAAAGCGTCAAATAGTGTAAATAAAAAGGAATCATAACTTTTGCACTGGAATTTTGAATGATAAATCGGCTTTTTCTCAGGCCACAGTTGTCTTTGAAAAGTAAGGCTAACACCAATGATACCTAATAGGCTATTTAGTTTACCCGCAAATTACCCAAATAAGTGAACGGTCCCTTTAATGCACAATAAAAGGGATTATCCATGAAATAGGGAGTTTTGGAGTGTTTTGTGGGGGGAGGTGCCACTTGTGTTATGCGAATGGGATATAAAAAAGTGGCAGAGGGGGCATTTATTGATGTCCCCAGGCCCCCTGATTCCATCTTCTTTATTGTCAGCGGAGAGAAATTTATCAAAGAGATGACAGTCCTTGCATTTCAGGAAAAAAACTTTTCAAAATAAATTTAGAAAAGAATTGAAAGAAAACTGAAATTGGATTTTTACAAAAGTTGCAAAATAAAAAAAGCAATTTTTGTCTGCAGCATGGCTAGTTCTATTTTTGAGTAGTCATTTCTGCATGCCTAACGTTCATTCAAGGCATAGAAGTCATTCAAAATTTTATAAATAAAAAAATTAGCCAATAAAAAAATATGATCAACTAATAACAAACATCTAAACTAAAAAGAATTGATACTTCCAAAATTTACATATTTGTAGAAAATTGCAAAAACTTTAAAAATTTTATACATTTATTTCTTTTCTTGGCAAATGCTGTGCAAATTTCAAACTGAATTATTCAAAATGGTTTCAGAAGTTTTAGTTTATTTATGTTGGTATATAGTGATAAGCAATTTAAGATAAGAGTATTTAAAAAAATGGTTTCGTCGAACAGAAGCAAACAAAATATTCTCTAGATATTCTCTAGATATGTTTACACTTTGCTTTTACCGTCAAAAAGGCTGAACCACTGGACCCCAGGGAAGGTTAAGGATGCTCAGAATTTCAAACATTTTTCTACAACAAACGTTATATTTATTTTACAAAAAATTTTGTAAATCCACGAAAAAATATGATGAAATCTGCGAAGAGAAAATGTTAACAGATAAAGCCACAATTTAAGATTTAAATAGAAGATGGCCGCTAAGCGTCTTAAAAGCCTAGTTTTGTAAATTGTATGTAGATATTTCAAAAAATGTTTTCATTTTTAAACTAAAAAGATGCCTAAACATACACATACTATAATGGTTGCAGGGGCGGATACAGGATTTAAGTGAGGGGGGGGTTGGCGCCCATACAAATTCAGAAAATTGCAACATACAACTTAGACCGTAAAAAATCCATTTAATTTCAAACAAATCATTCAGATAGTACAACCTATTTATTTTTTTAGAAAACGTTTTATCTGATTTCGAAAAATGTGAGTGGTCCGCTGCATTCTTTGATAGCGCAAGCCGCAAGAGAAATAATCATATTCAAAACAAATTAATTAAAAAATATTATAAGATATAAACTATATAAAAATGTGGCGAAAGATAATCGATGACTATAGGTTGTAATATCTGAATAATTTGTTTGAAATTAAATTGATTTTTTACGGTCTAAGTTGTATGTTGCAATTTTCTGAATTTGTATGGGCGCCAAGTTGATCGGTATGAGACACGTCTTTAACAATTTTCTCCTTATAGACGCAACAGATAGAAGTAAGATTAGTAGCGATCAAAAGCGCCTTTTTATCGCATTAAGCCTATACCCCCTTTCATGTTTTGCGAACACTCCCTTTAAAGGACTCAAAAAGAGTCAAAATTAATGAATAAAGACTAAAAAACTAGATTTTAAAACTTTTCACACATTATAGTTTATTAAGACAGTTATTTTTCCTGTTTTGCACTAGGGTTTCTTTCCCTTAAGCATGCTATTGAGAAGCTAGTCTGAAAATAGGAACAAAAAATTCCAAATTCAGGGGGGGGCTACGCCCCTCCCTGAATCTGTCAGGGGGTGGCGAATGTCCCCCCCCCTCCCCTGTATCCGCCCCCGCAGGGTTTTCCACAAAGGATAAGATTTTAGAGAAAACTGAAATAGATACCCTTCAGTCTGCCTTTTTATAAATAATGGTTACCTTTGCCGTAAAAAAAAAACATTGTTTTTTCCTTTAATAACATCTTCAAACTTCTTTACGTAATTCTGAAAATGATGTAAACAAAAACTTTCATTTTTGTCCAATTTTTATCATTTTAGGAGAGAACACAGTAGAGACTCAAGTCCCTATGTACGTAATCGAGGGTCAGAGTGTACACATGTACTGTATTTTCACACACAAATCATTCTACACGCTGAAGGTAAAACTTAACTGTTCTTGTTAATGTTTACATTGTACCATGACGTATTTTGACAGTTTCATTTTAAATAGACATAAGAATTGATAAACAATCTTAGAAATTGTAAACAAACATGTTATCCCAGAACTGGAGTATACTATATTTTGTTAACAAATTTTCATAATGTACCATATATCTATATTTTTATATATTTACATATGTTTATATATGTTACCAAATGACTGGAAAAATATATTTTTCCCCCCAAAATCCTAAATTTTTTTTTAATACAAAAATTTTCTGTCTTAAAATTTTGAATTTATTTTTCCAACGTGTTTTTAAAATTAAAAAGTTATATATAATGCGGCAATATTCTAACTCTTTTTTGAATTTGTTTTTCTAGTGGTTCATGAACGATACTGAAATATACAGACTAACCCCAGAAGCATATCAAAGGAAAACACATTTAATCAAGACTGAGATCTTTTTTATCTACTTAATCAATTAATCAATAAATATCCCTTAAAAACTTTATTTTTTGGTCTTCATGGCATTAAGAATTTTAGTCTATTTATAGTGTAAATTATAATTTTTTTATTCATATTTTTAGTGTAAATTATATTTTTTTTGTTCATATTCAGTAATAAAAATTGTAATAAATTGAAATATTAAATTTTACTTTTCAAAAGATTGTTACCGCCCTTGGCTACTTTCTGCATTTAATCTTAATGCATTTAGCACTTTAATCATATATATATCTACTCCTTTTCGATGCATTTGCACAAGATGCACTGCGTGGCCCAATAGCAATTTGAAAGCCAATATCTATGTGCATTTAAGATGGTTGTTTTGAAAAAGTTAAAAAAAATAAGAATGATACTTTTCTAAATTAATGAAGAACTTTATAAATCTTTAAAGCACGCACCTCTGCCCCTTTAGTAAAAGTAAATTCAACTTATATGAAGTATTAAGTCTGACCGCGTCAACCTTGTTGCACGGGCTAGTCCTGTCTATAGAGCTACTGGGACCGGAAAGGTTAACCCGGCTCGAAAATTCAAATGTACTACGACTGACGTTAAAGGGATTGTAATTTTTAATGTTAAATGCAAAGATGACAATGCCTTGAAACCCTTCTCTGATCAATAATGTGGAAGATATTGTAGTTTTTCAAGGTTTAAGAAAACATGACAGTTAAAATATCGTTATTAAAGTCTCATCTTTTGTGGGTAATCCTTATGTATATATATTCTATATCCGTGCTATAAATTGCATCGTGAACAGTTCAATAATAGGATATATAAATCCTATTCACACAGAACACATACAGAGATAAAATAGAAGAAAGATTTTTCACAGTTTAGAATATTATATTTATCAAAAAATAGATTCAAAAAATTCCGCTCTGATAAAAGTGTTAATTTGACCTTTTAATTTGCAGCTTTTACTTGCTTCGATCCCCCCCCCCCAAGACTTTTTTCAATGAGAACAATTCATTTTAAGTATTTCAAAAATTCAGAAAAAGCAAAAACAATCAAAATGTCAATGTTAATTCATAAAAGATTGTTCAAATTCAAATGCTATTTAACAATAATCAAAGTTTAATAAATGTAAACTTGGTGCAGAGAGAATCAAAGGATGATATTCAATCAGAAAATGGTTCAAGTATTGGCCAAAGGATGGAAGGGGCTTTATGGATGGAAGGGAGCGGGGAGTGATCGAGAAGTTATGAAAGGAAATCTAGACATTGTACTTGTAGGGATGTTGGTTTGTTTGTTTGTAACGACTTTGTATCATATTTTTTTGTGGGACCTCAATTGACCCCAAAGAAGGTTTTTATTTTTATTTTGGAAACCCACCAATTCAACCAGAGAAAATACACGAAATCCTAAAAATTATTGTTCTTGGTTTCTAGATGAAACTTTATTCGACAGAATGATTAGGTATAATTAAAGCGACATTACTGTTACGACTTTGTGACCTTTAGCTCCTTTAGTTTTGAAATTACGCACACAAGTATGAGAAAAGCAACTTTAACCGGTTACATACGGTGGTAGGCGATTATATCAATAAAACGAAGACGACTTTTTATTTAAGTTTCAATTGTTAACAAGCCTTTTGCGAATTACAAGTTTACAAGTTCGCAAAGACAATTAGCTTTGTTTTCATGTTTTTATGTATCCCATAACCATGCTGTTAAAAAGCTTTACATAAACTAAAATTGAAATCGAAGTCGTCTTCATTATATTGATTTAATCGCCTAACTCTTCAATAATGGAAGTTATAATTAAGAACAATAAACTTCAGTTTGACTGGGAAAATGTTAACAGACAAAACCACTGAAAATATGAAAACCCTGTAGAAAAGAAAAAATGAAGAATATTAAATTGAAAAATAAAAGAGTCCGAATGAGAAGAAAATGTGGGAAAAGGGACAACGAAAAAAATAAAATGAAAATAGAAGAGTTGAAAACTAAAATGAAGATTAAGAGATGAGATGAAATTGTTCCGGATTATAGAAGAGAGTTATATTGGATTATCCAATAAACTAGTTAGATGGATAGATAGATAGATATAGTCAGATAGATAGTTAGACAGACAGATAGATAGTTAGATAGATAGATAGATAAATACAGGATGCTGCAGAGCAGAGCAGTTCCTGGATAGAATAGATTCCTGGAAAAGACAGGATGCTGCTGAGCAGAGCAGATCCTGGATAGAATTGATTCCTTGAAAAGACAGGATGCTGCTGAGAAGAGCAGATCCTGGATAGTATAGATTCCTGGAAAAGACAAAACAGGATGCTGCTGAGCAGAACAGATCCTGGATAGAATAGATTCCTGGAAAAGACAGGATGCTGCTGAGAAGAGCAGATCCTGGATAGTATAGATTCCTGGAAAAGACAGGACAGGATGCTGCAGAGCAGAAAAGATCCTGGATAGAATAGATTCCTGGAAAAGACAGAATGCTGCAAAGCAGAGCAGTTCCTGGATAGTATAGATTCCTGGAAAAGACAGGATGCTGCTGAGCAGAGCAGATCCTGGATAGAATAGATTCCTGGAAAATACAGGATGTTGCTGAGCAGAGCAGATCCTGGATATAATGGATTTCTGGAAAAGACAGGATGCAGCTGAGCATAGCAGATGCTGGATAGAATAGATTCCTGGAAAATACAGAATGCTGCTCAGCAGAGCAGATCCTGATAGAATAGATTCCTGGAAAAGACTGGATGCTGCTGAGCAGAGCAGATCCTGGATAGAATAGACTCCTGGAAAAGACAGGACTGGGTGCTGCTGAGCAGAGCAACTCCTGGATAGAATAGATTCCTGGAAAAGACAGAGTGCTGCAGAGCAGAGCAGTTCCTGGATAGTCTATATTCCTGGAAAATACAGGATGCTGCAGAGCAGTTCCTGGATAGAATAGATTTCAGGAAAAGACAGGATGCTGCAGAGCAGAGCAGTTCCTGGATAGAATAGATTCCTGGAAAAGACAGGATGCTGCAGAGCAGTTCCTGGATAGAATAGAATCCTGGAAAAGACATGATGCTGCAGAGCAGAGTAGATCCTGGATAGAATAGATTCCTGGAAAATACAGGATGCTGCAGAGCAGTTCCTGGATAGAATAGATTTCAGGAAAAGACAGGATGCTATAGAGCAGAGCTCCTGGAGAGAATAGATTCCCTGAAAAAAAAACATGATGCTAATAAGCAGAGCAGCTCCTGAATAGTATAGATTCCCTGAAAAAAAACAGGATGCTGCAGAGCAGAGCATGTCTTGGAGCAGAACAATTTGTGGAAGGAAAAGACAGAATGCTGCAGAGCAGAGCAATTTGTGAAGGTATTAGAGGATGCTGCAGAGCAGAGCATGTCTTGGAGCAGAACAATTTGTGGAAGGAAAAGACAGAATGCTGCAGAGCAGAGCAATTTGTGAAGGTATTAGAGTAGAGAAAAGTTAGGATGCTGCAGAGGAGAAAAACTGGGAAAACTTTTTACTTTCAGTTTCAACATGTTTTTTTCCACAAATATGAAATCGAAACCATTTGTACTGTTTGTTAAAATGTAATAAATTTATCTAATAAAACAATATTTTCATTTATATGTTACGAGAGGAAAATATTCCTTTATAAACCCGGCCAATTATCAAAAGATTCAGTAATCTTCTTTTAATAAGAAAAAGACACGTGAACTAGAATTATTGCAGTAAATAAACTAACTTAATTTATAAAATCATGGTCTACGTCTTATAAAAAATCTGTCAACTTTGATTTCGAATCAATGTGATTTTTATCTATTTCATGCATGATTTTGTTAATAGAACAGTCCCGGGTTACCTGGTTAGAATGTGGATCAAACGGATGAGTTCGATCTTATTATTCGTAATTGGGTCCATGACTTAGGAAATTAGTTCTTACCACAAACTATGATATTCTAATATCTTTGCAACTCGATGTTGCAGACCTTCGATATCTAAACACTAAGAAATTTAAGAACCAAGCAGGTTCTTAAACTTTGTGATAGAAAGTTTAAGGTTGAGCAGGTTCAGTATCGGTTTGAAATTCAAAACCCGTTCCCTTAATTCCAACAATTTTGGGAATCCTTGAACTCTGTCAAACATGATAGATACATCCAACCAGATAGATAGATCTAACTTTGACTCCCGATCTTAAATCTGTATATGTATTCATATATAAAACATTAATTAATATATTGAATTATGGTTGAATCGCCCAGCTAGTAGCTACCCCCCTTTAATTTTCCTTCTATTCTTGTATTTTATTAATCCCCTGGTATGGTTTGGACCTGGAGCTATGAACATGAATATTTAATTCAACCTGCCGAGCTCAATCCTTTCTTTACATTTCTCCGATACATTCAACTTTACATCCTTACATCATACATATCTTCTTCTTCGTTTTTTTGCTTGTATCCAATAAACGTCGATCGGGCTTAAAGGTTTATAGATGATTAAAATTTCAAAAATTTGCCTCCAACAAAATTCGATTGTCATTAAATTTTGAAAATCCACACAAATTTTTTATAAAATCCGCGAAATTTTTTTTTTTACAATGTATATAAACGAAGAGAAAAATGTTCACAATTGAAATAGAAGATGGACGCGAAACGCCCTATAAGCCTAGTATAATATACTTTGCTTGTCTGTTTATTGTATACAATAAAAGTCAAAACGGCTGAACCGATCGGGCCCAAATTTTGTGTCGCACCTCACATGAGTCCAGGGAAGGTTTATTATGGATGCTCAGAATTATAAAAAGTTGTTTCCGAAAATTTTTGATTTTCGTCAAATTTTGAAAATCTACAAAAACAAAATTGTAAATCCACAAAAAAAATTATTAATGTTTCATCGAAGATAAAATGCTTTCAACAATTTTAATTTGAAATAGAAGATGGACGCGAAGCGACCGGATAGTATAGTTATAGTTAAACATTCAATTACACTAACCTTAAGCAAAACTCAAACGAACTTGAATTCTGGTAATTCATGAGCATGATGGTCTTTTCTTTTTAACAACGATGTTCACTGCATTTGTTCTTAGGTCGATATCCTACGGAAATATTCGTATATTTTTCCGGATAAAATGGAAGAGAACATGTTTTTTAACTGAGCATATTTTTCCGTCTATCTAGCCCCAACTAAAATAGCATGTAAAGATTAGTCTCATGAAAACACAAAACTGAGAAATAAATGTAAACCCTCTTTTTTACTTAATTGATGTATTGCTTTTAGCCTTTCTTTTATTTTATTTTATAAAATATGAAGTAACAGTATACAGAACAGTACAGCAGAATTAATTACGATAATTTAGATATACACAATAATCGGTTTTATGAAACAAATATTTAAATCTATTAAAAAACAAATTCTATAAATAAATAAACTGAAAAAGTATAAAAAGGTGTACAATGGAACCCATAAAACAATGAAATAGGACCACATTTCACCAATTGTTTTTTTTAGTTTTTAAAGTAAATCTGTTTTATACAAGTACTTTGAACATCAACTAATTAACTGAAATGGGTCTGTGTACACTGCACAACAGTTGCGTTTCGTGTTTATTGTTTACTGGACTTTATAAAATCATAACTTGCATGAGTCTAACAGTCTATTTCGCATTTTTATGGGTCTTTCTTATTCCATTGCTTACTCCGACCCCCGAAGCCGGGTCCGAAAAAGAATATCATAAAAAGTAGATTTTTCTTTTAATATATGGCCGTGCAGTTTAAAATTTCAGCCAAATGGGAGACGCTCGAACTAAATTTTCTAAAAAATGTCTTCTTTATTTTGGAATAACCCTGCCTCAAGTAAAGCTTGAATTTGGGTCAGTTTTAATGTTATTCTTTAAAATACAGCAAGGTATGGGATATGTAAAAATTCTCAATTTTGTTTAGTCCCCCTGTAGTATTATTTATATTCAATACAAAAGCAAATCTCTACCCCACCCATATCGATAGGGCTAGGCATGTTAATTTTTTTTCAATCCGTTAGTTAAAGGGAGTGTCTGGCTAGACATGGTAGTTGAGCTAAGAGTGCAGTATTGTAGAGTTTTTTAGATAAATCATTTAAGACGTATAAGATGTTTTTGCGTTGTATAATTACTAAGTAAGAGTGCAACATCAATCTTTAAAATCATCCTGGCGCTCGCCCACAGACATACAGGGTGTCCCACGAAACATGACAATAGGAAGACGACTTGAAAGTCGTCTTTGGTATTTGAATTTATTTGTGACATTTAGTCTTCTATCTACTTTAACATGTCTGTATGTTGTGGCGCGGCACTCCTGTCCAGCAGGTTGTGGTTCGACACACAAAACGTTTCTCTAAAATACTGCACTCTCAGCTCAACTACCATATCTAGCCAGACACTCCCATTAAAGGTGAGAAAAATGGACGTTCACATTGTTTTCCGTTTGTTAATAAAGTGC